AATGTTTTTTGTAACCCAATTATTCTATCTTTCTATTTAAATAAATTCTCCATTTTATTGTTGCATCTTGATAATGCTACATAAAATTGATCATGAAAAACCTAAGGTTTCTTTAAGTATATACTAAAATTATCAAAACTTTAACCTTGAGATTTATTGATGCTCATAACAAAAGCTAAGACTGAAGTATAGTTTAATCAAAAATCTCTTTACAAACAATGTTTTTTGTAACCCAATTATTCTATCTTTCTATTTAAATAAATTCTCCATTTTATTGTTGCATCTTGATAATGCTACATAAAATTGATCATGAAAAACCTAAGGTTTCTTTAAGTATATACTAAAATTATCAAAACTTTAACCTTGAGATTTATTGATGCTCATAACAAAAGCTAAGACTGAAGGAAATTATGTTCTGTATGAAATTAATGGCAGTGAAGAAGTATTCCGACTATTTAGAGTGATTCTTAGAATAAAAACTCACTTTCTAATTATTTTTCCAGTTATTATTTTACTTTCTAGATTGTACTTGTATAAATTAGTTGTTAGTAATACTGTACCATTACGTAAACCGTCTGATATACTAAAGTTTCTTATTAATATTACTGTACTTCCAATTTTTATATTTAGTTCATGAGGTGGTAAGCTGTCCAGGATATTATCTAGCATTTCTATAAAAATAATTATATAAATACTATTATCTGATTTATTAGGACCTTTAGTTTATTAAGTTGCTTGATCTATGCTACTATGCTACTTAGACTCTTCCTTTAGTATTAACAAAATTTTGTTTAAAAAAAAATATATGTATTGCATAAAGTTACAATAACAATATTTGTCTATAAATCGTCTTTCTATGGACTTTCATAAACAATAGAGATATACACTATTATGGTCTTCGCTCACACAAATTCTTATAGATAGTCGAATAAAAAATCCATATGGATTATCCACATAACAATCCATATAGAACGTTCATGTAGAAATCTATATGCATATGGACTATCTATGTGGACCATCCACATGGAAATCTATATGGACCATCCATATGAAAATCTATATGGACTATCCATATGGAAATCTACATGGATCATCTATATGAAAATCTGAAAAAGTGTGCATAAAACGTATCCAAAGAAATACATACAAATCATTAATATGCATACGTTTATTTCACAAAGTTTAATGGTGAATTAACGCATATCAAGAGTGGCCGCGTATTATATATTTTTAAATAAATTTTGTCCTTAAACTAATTATCCATATAAAAATCACTCACTGGGGATTGTACGCAGGATCAGTTTCACATTAACAACTCACATAGATAGTTCAAAATAATTCATTGATAATAGAATAATGCGTCATAAACATTTACCCAAAAACACCTACAATACATGTATTGCTATTATTCTTACGTATATTACAGTAGATTATTGTTTGGATTGATATGAAAGTATTAGATGTAGTATAAAAAATGAAGATACGTATTATTTTTTAATCTCTTTGTATATCAGTTTCATTATTAAATCAGCTTACGTATGTACAATATTTTTCTATAAATTGTCTTTCTATGGACTCTCATAAACAATAGACATTTACAGTATTATGGTCTTCGCTCTCACAAATTCTTATAGATAGTCGAATAAAAAATCCATATAGACTATCCATATAGAAATCTAAATGGATCATCCATATGAAAATCTGTAAAAAGTATGCACAAAACGTATCCAAAGAAATACATACAAATCATGAATATGCATACGGATATTTCACAAAGTTTAATGGTGAATTAACGCATATCTAGAGTGAACACGTATTATATATTTTTAAACAAATTTTGTTCTTAACATAATAATCCATATAAAAAATCACTCACTGGGGATTGTATGCAGGATCAGTTTCACATTAACAACTCACATAGATAGTTCAAAATAATTCATTGATAATAGAATAATGCGTCATAAATATTTACCCAAAAACATCTACAATACATGTATTGCTATTATTCTTACGTAAAATACAGTAGATTATTGTTTTGATTGATATGAAAGTATTAGATGTAGTCGAAAAAAATGAAGAAACGTACTTATTTTATATCGATATAGGATTGCACACATGGACTATTAAATATATACATGTATATAAAGTTAAGTTTCTCAACAATAGAAATACGTTATCGCAAAGAGTGTAGACAAAAAATATATGTTGAAAAAACTCAAGTTGCAAGAATCTATGTAGTAAATCAATATATGACATTGATGTATGAATTTAAAGGATGTTCAATAATAAGAAAAATTTTGGAACGTGAATCACTGTTAACAAAACTGTATGGAAAAATCAGTAAGTACAATTAAAGGAAAACCACTTTTTCAACAGTTTGATAAGTATAGTTTTCCGTGTACTTCAAACACTTGTCGATCATGGAATTCTTTCCTTACCTTTATTTATCAAGCATAAGTTCTTCGTTAATAGTATACGTATCTGCATGAAAATCCATCTTGAACAAATACATAAATGTTGATCTATATCTATTATCTATACATAATTAGAAATGAAATTCCTATGGATTATCCACATGGAAATCCATATGGACCTTCCATATAGAAATCCATATGTCGTTTTGGAACAAAATCCATATGGAAATCCATATAGAAAATCTATATGGATTTTCATGTGGATTGTTTTGATTGGGAAATCATATTAAAACGTAAAGAAAATGTAAAAAAACGTAACACAACATAATAAAGTGTAAGAAACGTCCGAAATCCATGAGACTATTACAGTTTCTTACATTTTCTTGCGGGTTACGGCATATTATTACACATGTTCACTTTTTCTAACATTTAGTTACGTTTTCAAATTTCCACTGGGGACTCTGTAAAAAAAAATTATGACAGTTTATTTAGTTAGTACTTTAAATAGCACTTTCAGAAAATAAAATAATATCTTACGTGTTAAAAGAACCAAAAACAAACGTTGCACCACAAAAAATATACCTATTGGGATCCGAACAATGCCAAAAGCACCAATAGCTCATGTAAATCTGTGGCGTCTTAGCCACAGCGACCAGCTTCGTGCTGAAGACGGAAGCACACCATCGTCCCAAGGAACATCTTCTCCTGCGCACGTGCAAGCTAACTCAAACATACACTGCCCGTGCGCTACAGCTGAGGGAGAAGAGTCGCGAGGTGCTATATATACACTTATTCTATAGCTCTCAACGCGAGCAGAGCAAAATCCTACTGTACATTCCGAATGAAGCCTATTGTATCTTTATAATAAAAACTGTTGCGTGTGCTCATTTTCCCTTGTGCTCTCTTTCTTGTGGAAGCACAGCTTTGCCTGTGCAGAACAATACTTTCCACAAGTGAAGACCCTCTAACTGTTTTATTTAAACGCGAGTGCAAGTTCGCGATGAAAAGTTGAGCCAAGGCGAGGATAAACTCTTCGCGCCCTGACATCGTTTCTACCGCTCTCCCGCTCGCCACGTGGGCACGACGTCGTCGCCAAAAGGCTACGTTCCGCCGTCAAGAGGCCGGCGCTCGCTAGTGCTAACGTCTCGGGTAGCAGGGCCAGTACAAAGGGGACAGCCTCGCCTTGGAGCCCAGTTACGAGTGTTACGACCACGCTCAGAGCCCAACGTTGTTACACGTGCTGCAACGTTACGTGTCCGCGTATGTCCCTCTGTGCCCGCTTTGCCGTCATTACAAAAGTTGGGTGGCACCCAACCTCTCGCTCCGTTAACAACGGACTTGGCAGGACATAGAAGCAACAGTTGAGCAGACGTCTCACGGCGATCCACTGCTGCTGGGGTTCCACCTGAAGCCCGTTCCTGCCAACGAGAGCACCGTCTTGCAAGTTTTTAACTAGCTGCCAGTCCCCCACACAGGGTAAGAGCTAGCAGACGCCACTCCAACGCCCCCGGCTGACACGCGTGCGCTACGAGACGTGCTTCGAAGCAAGCTTTTCGCCGATCTCTACCCAGACGCGTCCGTTGCCCTCGCTGCCGTGGCGGCCGACAGGTCAAGCGACTCTCCCGAGTCATCCCCGGACGTACACAGTGACGAAAAGCGCCACGCAGCAGCCGTTGCCGTCGACGCCGCTACGGCTCACGACAACAGTACATACAGCAACCCGCCTGCGCCCAGCCCAGTCTTCTCAGACTCCCACGCCAACTTCAGCGCTGGACTCATGGCCACCATGGAATTATTTCCGTTTTGGCCTAAACACCCTGCCACATGGTTCACGCAGACCGAGCTCATCTTCGCGAACAGCAACACCACCTCCGAAGATGTGAAGTACGCGTAGGTCGTCAAAGCATTGGGGCCAATCATCGTCGACGGGCTGTCAGACATCCTTGCAGCACCACCAGCAGAAAACAGGTACGAAGACCTAAGGAAACACGTCCTTGCGAGGTTCTCTAACTCCAAGGACCAACAGCTGAACAAGCTATTCTCCGGGCTGTCACTGGGCAATAAAAAGCCCTCACAGCTGTACAGCGAGATGAAAAGCCTCGCCAGCAATAGCCTCACAGACGACAGCTTGAGAGTCAAGTGGCTGGACCTGCTACCTGCAGAGGCGCAACTTTTCTTGCGCATCTTTAAATCCGGGTCACTTGACAAGCTACTGCAGGTGCAGATGAACTCGTTTGCAACTCTTCGTTCTTGCGAACAAATCAAACCTTCGCAGGTGTCTCGTCTGTCTCCTCAGGTTACGCCTCGCCTGCCCCGCCATACCAACTGCACAACGAGATACTGCTCCAGAAAATCTCTGCAACCAAAAAACAAACAACTGTTCGAACTGCTCAAAAACAACAAGAGCAACGGAGGTGCCAGAGGCCAGGACAGGTCGCGCAGCGGAGGACGGAACCAGTCCCCAGGCACCTACGCCTGGTGCTACTTCCACAGGAAGTCCGGTGTCAACTCCTACTCCTGCAAGAAGCCCTGCACCTTCGTTGTACAGGCCACCCAACCAACGGGAAACGCCTAGGACTACCTCCAATGCAGCCGGCGGAGGTCACCCTTCCAACAGGGGAAACCCGTCTGCTCATCAGGGATCACCACCTCAAGGTCAACTTCCTACTCGACTCTGGATCCATAGTGTCAATCCTGCCCCGGCCGCCAAATTTCAGCCAGGCCCAACAGGAGGCATTGACCCTGTATGCGGCCAACCATTCGCCCGTATACAATTACGGCAGCCGGAAGGTCAACCTCAACCTAGGCCTACGTCGCGACTTCCAATGGGAGTTCATCATCGCCGACGTCGCCCAGGCTATTATCGGAGCCGACTGCCTAGCAGAACACGGTCTGCTCCCAGACCTCAAATCCAAGCGGCTTATCGACCCGATCACAGGTTTGGCTGTCCTGTGCGACACCAACCTGTACTCGATTGCGACAATCGAGGAACTGGGACCAGACGATCCTAAAGTCACCAATCTCTACTCGTCTTTACTGCACAAGTTTTCCGACGTTTTCGCGTGAAACAGCGCACCAGCGGTCATCAATGGCCATCAACATCGGATCATCACCTGCGACCAACCAGTCTTCGAGCGCCCCTGACGCCTCAACGGTGAGCGATTAGCAGTGGCCAAAGCTGATATCGCCGAGCTCCAAGACCAAGGGGTCGTCAGGCCATCCAGCAGCCAGTGGGCTAGTCCACTGCACTTCGTGCCCAAGGCCAACAATTCCTGGCGCGTCACCGGCGACTATCGCGGCCTCAACAGCATCACAGTACCAGACAGGTAACCCCTCCCGATCATCGAGGACATGCTGCGAGAGAGCCAAGGTCAGGTTGTTACGGCCATCGACCTATACAAAGCTCTCCACCAGGTACCCAATGCCAGCGGAGACGTAAAGAAGACCGCCGCAACGACACCCTTCGGCCTCTTCGAGTTCCTCGGCACGTTACTCGGACTCGGAAACGCTGCTCAAACCATGCAGCGCACCATGGACCAGCTGCTGCGCAAGCTTATCTTCGTTAACGCTTACATCGGCGACATCCTCGTAGACGAACGAGGAGCACCTTCAGCACCTCCGCCAGCTGTTCATCGTCTTGAAGCAGGCAGGCTTCAAGGTAAACCTGGCGAAATACACATTTGGCGAACCTCAGGTCATCTACCTGGGCTTCCAGGTTTCGTCAGTAGATTTCCGGCCACCAACAGCGAAGGTAAAAGCCATCAAAGTTTTTCCCAAGCCGACCGCAGCGTCCAAACTTCAACGTTTCCTGGGAGTAACCAATTACTACTGCAGGTGTGTTCCCCACGCCGCGGAACTGCAGGCGCCTCTCAACGAGCTACTAAAGGACCTGTCCAAGAAAGGTAGGCTCAAGTGGACCACACCAGCATCCCAGGCGTTCGACAGGTGTAAAGTCAGCGTCATTGATGCCGCTTGCACGACGTTCCTGGCATCGGATGCCCCCTTGGCGCTCCGCACGAACGCCTCGAGCACAGCCATCGGCGCTGCTTTGGAGCAGCTTCAACCTGATGATTCGTGGCGTCCTCTGGAATTCTTCTCACACAAGCTAGATCCCACGCAGGCCAGGTACAGCACGTACGATAGAGAGCTTCTAACGATCTACGCCTCTGTTGAACATTTCAAGAGGATACTAGAGGGCCGCCCATTCACCATCTTCACGGATCACTGGCCCATCACCTTTGCTGCCTTTTAACCAGCAACCAAGGCTTTGACTATAGGCAGGCGTGCTACCTTGAATATATTTTCAGGTTTAACTCACGCCTGGTCTACGCTAAAGGTGAAGAGAACGTCATGGCTGATGCTCTTTTCCAGCCGCAAGACGACCCCGAGACGCCGCCCCCTAAAGCTTCAACACCAGCTGCGAAACCCATCGAACAACCTGGTGCTCTAGCAGCTCAACATCGAGGGCCACTTCGTCTATGGAGACATCACGCAGGGCGTGGTGCCCCCGTACCTACCGGCATCTCCGGCGCACAGCTTTCAACGTTGTGCTTTCTCTCTCACACCCCAGCGACAAAGCCATGGCGCGCACCCTGAGTCAGAAGTTTATCTGGCCAGGAGTGCGCAAAAATGCCTTAGCCTGGGTCAAAGCATGCGAAGCCTGCCAGCGCTCCAAAGTTAGTCTGTTGATGGGGGAACCTACCCCAGTGGTTGCCCCCTGTCGATTGGCGGAATCTGCCTTAGTGGCTGCTCATTCCCTGGCTTTGTTAGGCCGGGAAGGTAGCCTCTGGTGCGTCAAACTCGTTGATGGCCCTAAGAAGGGCCGATTGTTATTAAGAAGCGCCAGGCTACGGCCAAATGACGGTCCCACGGGAAATTGGAATTGCCGGAGCCCTCGCAAGCAGCTTCCGTATGACTTGACGGAGTCTCTGAGGGTCCCTCAGTTCGGGCAACTGTGCCCTGGGTAACTTGGGTCTGCCTCGTGGGATCTCGGCGTGCGGAGAGCGCGCAGGGGGAGGGCGTAGTATGGGTCGAGTCGGCTTCCTCCTCCCTGTTGGTTCCTCCAAATCTTGGGAGACTTCCCCTAGATGAGCACGCGCAATGGAGGACGATGCCGCGGAGGTCCAGTTCGAACCAGGGGCCTCCCGGGTAGGGTGTACTCTAAGGTGGGTATTGGTGGGTGGAACAATCACCCCGCTGCGTGGACGTACGGCTGGCTTCCCCTGTCATCTCCTGGTATTACGCTGGGTTCGCTGCCTCTCCGCACGCTGCTTTTTCCGTGGTAGATTCACGGTGGACGCGTCGTGAAGCTCTGGAGGCTTCCTCCGGTGTGCCGGAGTAGAGCAACCTTAACAGGGCACCGGCGTCGAGATCCTGGGTAGCTGCCAGAGACTTGAAAAGGGTCTCGGTATCGAGATCCTGAGTGGCTGCTGATTCCACCAGTGTGATGCGCAAAGTTTTCTCAGGAAGAATGGAGAGGCCGAGGTGAATGAGAAGTAGTCATGTTGGTAAATGACCGTGGTCGTTTATTTCTTTAAGTCCCTAGTCGGATTGCTCCCGAGTATCGATGGTTGAGGAGTGAGGGTCCGATCGTTAGCCGGTAGGTCCAGTTGGCCGATGGTGACCGTGCGCCGCAGTGGTTAGGAACCGATTGACGCAATGCGCAGAAGCGCTGAAGGAGTGCATCTGCACGATGGAGGGGGTAACAGAGCGCAAGTGCATTGGTCCCTTTCAGGGCTTTTCAAGTCGCCACAATCTATCAGCACTGGGCAGATTCACAGAGCCCGACAACCGCCTGGAACATGTCCACATTGACATCGTTAAGATACCTTTAGTCGCAGGCATGCAGTACTGCCTTACGATCATTGATCGGTTTACTCGCTGGCAACAAGCGATCCCGCTGTCCAACATCCAGGCACCCACCATCGCCAAAGCCTTCTTCGATCACTGGATCAGTTTCTTCGGAACCCCGCTCTTCATCACCTCAGACTGTGGAGCCCAGTTTGAGCCGAGCCTCTTCAAGGAACTGGCCCAGACAATCGGCACAAAGCTGTGCCACACCACCTTGTATCACCCGGAGTGGAGAGGTTCCACAGGACTCTTAAAGCAGTCCTACACTGCTGCCCGCAGTCTTGGCTAGACTGCCTCCCGACTGTGCTTCTGGGACTCCGCACAGCCTACAAAGAGGACCTGCAAACCTCTCCAGCGGAGATGCTCCTCGGATTCTCACCCAGAATTCAAGGGGAGTTCTTCACCACCGAGTCAGTCCAGGCCAACCAGTCTACGTTCGCGCGGAGCTTGCGACAACTCCTCAGAGCCATCAGACCATTTCCTGCCTTGGGTCACTCGGCCCAGCACTCGTTCTGCTTCAAAGATCTGTCAACCTGCTCGCATGTGTTCAAGCGTGTCGACAGAATCCGAAAGCCGCTGAAACCACCCTACACCGGCCCACATCACGTTGTTCGCCGTCTCAATGAGCGCAACTACATCCTCGACATCAATGGCAAATAAGAGGTGGTGTCCACAGACACGCTCAAACCAGCATACATGGAGCAAGCCGACTCTGTCCTTGAGCAGCCCACAGCGTCAAGCACAGCTGCTTAGCCGCCACCGCAACCTCTGCCGTCTGCACCAAAACAGCGCTACTCAGCCGGAAGCGCCCAACGCCGTTGATCAGCTCTCGCCACAACCCAAGTCTACCCCAACTGCCCAAGCCGCCCAGTCTTCAGCAACTCGCCATGCCTCGTTCCCGGTTCTTACGCCGGTCTCTGGGGAGAGAGTGGATGTAGCGTCTCAGCCATAGTGACCAGCTTCGTGCTCAAGACGGAAGCAGACCATCGTCCCAAGGAACATCTTCTCCTGCGCACGCGCGAGCCAACTCACACATACACTGCCGGTGCGCTACAGCTGAAGAAGAAGAGTCGCGCGGTGCCATACACTTATTCTATAGCTCTCAACGCGAGCAGAGCAAAATACTACGGTACATTACGAATAAAGCCTATTGTATCTTTATAATATAAAAACTGTCACGTGTGCTCATTTTATCTCGTGCTCCTTTCCTTGTGGAAGCACAGCTTGGCTTGTGCAGAACAATACTTCTCACAAATCTACATAAGGTAGCGGTTTTCCTAACCCTTGACAGGAGGCTAGCCTATGCATTTCCTTACCTCCACCCTTACCGTTGTTCGGATTCCAATAGATGCGTTAACGATACACCGCGTCGTTCTACGTATAGTACACTGATTATACGTGTAATACGCGGCCGTAGGTATACTACATTTTTGATGAGTGTAGTACCATCTCTGCTCGGAACGCCACACCTTGTATTTTTACATTATGTGTGGGACGACCTGTATTCTGTATTCCTGTATGGCTGTATATCTTTATTTCACACTGTGGATGTCATAGAGATATAAGGATAGAGTGCGCTAATTATACTAATGTACGTAAGGGGGAGCGATACGGTAAAAGAAAGAGATGGTCGCCGAGTGTCCTCTCCATCTCTTTCTAGCTGAGCGCTGTGATTGGCTGAATGGCTGCTGCTCAAGGGGGTATTCTGGCCGTTAGCGGCAGTTACTGACATAGGTTATTGCCTCTTGAGCATCAGCATCAGCTAATCACAGCGCTCGGGTAGAAAGAGACAGAGAGGACACTCGGCAACCATCTGAACCATCTCTTTCTTTTACCTTACCGTATCGCTGTATTCAGCCTCTAGCGCACTCTATCCTTATATCTCTATGTGGATGTACCCAAAGGTTCCACACTTTCACTGTGTTTCCCGCGGTCTGCACTTCCAATGTCTATGGTTGTACGATCATTATTGAATATTCGATTAGTTGGTTCATTATACTTCAAATAAATACAAATCATTTATTAAAACATGTTTGAAGAGTTTTGGACATCGTAAATAAAAGTAGTGTTACGCCTCATAATCTAGGTAAAATTATAATTTGTTGATTCTCTTGTTTTAAACCAGACACGTTCGAATATTTTACGAGAATTAGATAATCATGCATGTACACATACCATATAAAAATATTAATTTCCTACTCATCCGGTATGCAGGTAAATAATCGTCTCCTAGACTTCTGATGTGTTACAATTTAAATCTGTTCAATGAAGCGAAGTTAATGACACGTGCATGGTACATGCGAGTGACTTTCCTATAATTTTAATTTTTAAACGGCAGTGACTTGAGGCCTGCCACCGTGTATCGTGTATCATGCACGAAAGTGCATGGTATACAGCTTATTTGAAATATCGTTCGATAAATCATTACCCTCGCCGTGTATGGCATATACCTATGGTATACAAATTCAAGGTTCACAGAG